CATTATGTTAAAAATGCTTTAAAATTCTATCCATTATACCTTACTATTGTCGCAGCGGCACGGACCACTGCAATTATTAAACGCGACTGGTCCCAACGCTCCACCGGTGTAGATTTTTAAATATGTCCCAAAGCTGGCACACTCCCTTTAAATCAAACGCATCTCCATTTAGGAAATGTTACGCAGGTTCCCATTTCAGAAAAATGTTGTCCGAGAATTGGACTTTAACCTTCCCAAGAGAACACTCCAGATTCCATCTCTGGGTTTCAGTCACGTTTTATGCAACAGGGCAGTGCTGGCGTTAGAATGTATTGCTAAAATTCACTTTGCAAAGCTGCTGGCGCCGAACTGGTGACAGGCAAGCGTGTGCCTACGTTTTGCAAATGTAACGACGTTGCTTTGATGGCTTTGTAATTCTTTGCGGAAAGCTGCAAAAATATTACAAAACATTTGAAAGATACAGAATTTGGCCAGCTATCGCTCAGTCCGGTAGAACTGTAACTGGTCTTTTGCAGATTCCAGGTAAGTCATGCCTGGTCCGTTTGGACGGGTGATAACGCAGCGCGGTTTGCTTCTTTTGCGTTTCTACTGGGAGTGGCAGACTGTAGAACGTCGAAAGATACATACAACAATACTTTTATTGCGGCGTGGAAAGTTCCAGTTACGTAGCTAGCCTAACAGCAGGAAGCTAGGACTGTCCTAAAATGTAGGCAACCTTCACCTTCTGCAGGCGGCTATTTCAACCCACAGCCATTGGGTTAATGCAAGCATTGCTCAGAAGGTGGGGGACATGATCTCCTGGCCTCTCCTTTGGCCTCATCCCTCATATTTGAATGCTATTTATCAGGATGCGTCTAGTTTCAGGCAAACTCCATGCATGACACCACAGGCACTGATTACGCACAGAGATGAAAAATCCTCTGATGAGTCCATAAATGCACGCGCCGAGCGCATCGAACATGGTCAGCCGTGCTGACGCACCCAATGCTGGATGCGACTGGCTGGATTACGGGCCGGTGGCCAGCAGCCCGGACGCCGGCGGCCAACGGACTCGCCGAATTTGTGAGCAGGGCCCATTCTACACAGCGAGGCTACGCACCTTTGCGCGTTGATTGGCGTCGCACACATCATACGTCACAAATCACAACCAATACAACGATCAATGAAATGAATGGGACAATGTGTGTCTTCCATTGCCCTAGCCTCACTCACTTGTCAATACAGTACGCAGCTTCTCGTGCACCAATTGCGCAATAATTATCGAAACTGAAACAGGGGTAGCGATGAGTTTGTCTGTGTATGTCTGAAGAGCATGCATTTCACGAGCACGGTAATAGGACTCTCACATATGATATGCTTTATTCTCACCCTCACCCTCACTATGATTGGCATAAGTTCTCAACTTTATTTCTCATTAAGGCTTTTGTTCTCTCCGTTTCTTCATTTCCTCCAATATCTGTACCTAAGTGCAGGTCTGTGTGAAAAAGGGAAAAAATTCGTCTCAACATACGGCAACAATCAACATCCGATGGGGATAAAAATTGAAGCACTTTAGAAGTGCGCTTAGCACGTTTGCTGAAATGTGAACAGTTCCCGGACAATATCTTAAAAATTTGTTCTCGTAGAAATGTTGCTGCAACAACTGACCATACCTCACGTTTTAGCAACTGCTTTTCTTGCTTGCGCGCAGCGTCACACATCCGGCGCGGCGATGGTTGTGGGATGGAACATGGTTATTGTTAACAGGAATCCGACCATAACGTCCAGGCAGCCACTTTGGTATTTATTCCGTGTTGATGCATGATGTATCCACTTAAGACAGCAACACACCACATTCAAGAATGCCTCTTGTTTCTTGAATGCGGTTATGTCGTAGTCGCAATTGTGACGCGTTCGAAAAGTGTTCGTGCTGATGTACAATGTAATGAAATGGCGGGGCCAGCATCGTAGCAATGGCGGGCTTTTGCGGCTAGATCACTACCTGGTTGGGGTAGGTTTGGCTGCGAGCTGATATCATTGAGAAAAGCTGCGTGTCTAATCCGAAACAAACCACTCTCATTTCAGTGCCGGAGAACCTGGTCCAACGGAGCATAGTTCGCAATTTTTCGGGGGGGGGGGATGAACCGGTGAAAAATAACATAGCCAACCCCCAGAATATGTCAATAATCGGACTTCCATTCACCCTGATTTGATGTTCCTTTCTGGGGGGTGGGGGGGGGGCGTTGCCCAATTACAGGGAAGTGACCGTAGCCCCCGTCCAACTGAACAGAAATTGACGTCCCCCCCCCCCCCCCCCCTCCCACCGTCCAATGCAAGAGGCGCTCCGACAAGCAGCACCTCTCCACTGCATCTGTTCAGCGGGGATGGTGATGATATGGTTGATGGTGATCATGGCCTGGGTCGGGTCTGTGTCACATCTGACAACCTACATTCGTTAATGGCTGGTGAGCAAGACGAGAAGAACATATCCGCAGTTCGCCATATTCTTCTACTGCGCATGCATCTGAAGATAACAGCGCGCCCGTCTACAGCCCAGCCACCTCCCGGGCCAAACGGCGCCCAAAAATAGCCACTACTGCATACCACGACTGAGACAGGCTATGACTTCCTAAGCATGAGGGAAATTACATCTCTGATTTCATAGAGTTGCTAATACCGGCAAAAAAAAAGCCCAACAAAACTTTCCGTAATTTCCGCCCGCTCTCCTAACCTGACACCGAAATCTCTGCACCGTACAGGCGGCGACAAATTTTCCTGGTGCGAGAAGGCGTGACCCGCCATTTCCGTTGGTGCGCTATGCGTACTCTTGGGGTATAAAACTGGCTACTGCTCCATGGCTGTCACGGCATTCGCACTCCGGCGCCACTCACCGCTACACCTCCGCAGTCATGAAGGTAAGCATCGCTTTGCTCATTGATCACATCGCGCTAAACCACGTCATAGCCGAATCGAGTTCCCCTTGTTCGTCATGGAACAGGATTGTTCGAGAAAATAGGTGCAATGTCGTCGTCAGTATATAATTGCCATGAACGTCACGCACGTACCATGCCAGTTGGCACCACATAATGCCAATAAACAGCTAAAAGTGCTAATAAATAGCTAAAATATGACTCATAGCCGCCAGTCAGCTCGAAATTGTTGCTGTACTGTTCGTTTTGCATACTAAATATTGCTTGAAGTCCTCGACAAAATTCACTATGTTTTTGGCATGAACTCATGCCTTTTCTTACGCTTTTAATTGTTTTGCCGTTTATTTTCGATTATGAACAGGACGCAGTATGCCCGTTGTGCTTATGATCTTCCTCGCATGAATTCGTGCATCATAAACAGCTAAATCGTTATGCTGTAGTCATTTGTACCTTACATGAGCACATAGGTCCTCTGTGAGTTTGGCGAGGCTGGACATGTACGAATCTTACTGGGCTGTGTGCAAATCACGAACTTCTCAGTAATAATGCCTGCTACCCAGCACCGTCGACAACGAACATGCCATGAAGCACCTTTATATGGTTTGAATTATATATCTATCCATACATATAAGTTCTATGAAAATATTAGAACATTTTCAGCCGACATAGCTTGGACATGGCAACAGTCATAATTTCATGATTCAACACGACCTCTCTGTGCATAAACAGGGCAGCTTGAAAAAGTACAGAAGCCACGCAACGAAACATCCTTTGACCCCGTATGAAAATGCTACTTTATAATTTGCAAAAGATATATAGACCCCAAATATTATATATATATATATATATATATATATATATATATATATATGTATTATATATATATATATATATATATATATTTATTTATATATATATATATATATATATATATATATATATATATATATTATATATATACATATATCTGTGTGTGTATGTATGTATGTATATGTATACTGTACGTATCGTATGTGTTTCTGTAATTAATGTTGCTCTTGTGGCAGCACTGTAATTTTTGACGGACTTACTTGCCGTCGCTCCATCTAATACAATATTTGCGAAAGTGTGATTCAATGAGATAAAATCAACGGTGCATCGTAAACATTTCCATGCGCTCATGTAATATTTATTACGCTGCGTCATCCTTCAAAGCTGGTTATCCTGCTGTGCCTGGTGGCTACGGCTACTGCCGGCTACCTCCGCGGGCTCGGCTACAGCGGCCTCAACGGCTTCGGCTTCGGCAACCTCGGTTACGGCGGCTACGGAGGCGTGGGCTACGGAGGCTTTGGCGGCCTCAACAGCCTCGGCTTCGGCAACTTCGGTTACGGCGGCTACGGAGGCGTGGGCCTCGGAGGCTTCGGCGGTCTCAACAGCCTCGGCTTCGGCAACTTCGGTTACGGCTACGGCCGCCGCTACGGCTATCCCGGCTTCGGCTACGGCTATCCCGGCTACGGCTACGGCTACCGCTACGGCCATAAATACGGCTATGGCCACTGATGCAGACACAAATACATATACTGACTCTAATACCAATGATTTTTAAAATATATTTGTCATGACGCGTTACCGATGACGACGGTTTTCCTGTGCTGCTTAAGTGCTCATCCACACTGTCTTCGCACCCGGCGGACAAGTCTGCTTGTGCATATTGATGCAATGCTTAAATTGTTCTGCATGGCTGTTGGGTTGTGCAACTCCCTGCTGACCTGAAATAGATCAGAATGATAGCAGAAGGCCATGTTTTTCCTTAATCCAGCGCCGAATTCAACTCAAGTGCCCGATGTGCGAGGATCAACAGCGCATACAGTCGCGAGTGATGCACGTCTCTGAGATGGGTACGCAGCGCACCATCCGCCACCCGTCAAGTCAGGCTGGTACCCATTACTGACACTGGATGAATACTGGTGGCTTTGGATGAGTCTTAGGAGGCTGTAATTTGCTGGCTTGGATATGACTACTTGAACCCTTTTTCATGATTTTGTATGCCTATTGCATGATACTAATCCTACTGAACGTGCATTGTCTCAGGTTATGCTTCTTTTAGTTTGCTTTTGCTCCCTAGCTGGAAGTGCCTTTACTTAAATTGATGTTTTCTGGGTGTAACATACGGTGTGTCGTGCAGCTAGAATAGAAGGAGGGGCACTTCTGGTTGCCTGTTCTTGGGTAACAGCTTAGAGAATTCACTGTGCAGCTAACTGACGTACAGTGTACAAACAAAGATGGCCAGCATCACTGCCGGACGAGGCCTCACTTCTCACTGCACGGCGGGTAGCTTCACTATGAGGCTATTGAAGGCATCCCGAAAACGTTTTCGAATTTCATTTTTACCAGCATCACCACAAAATTATTGTTCAAAAAGCAGCTTTTTAAGGCCCAGCAAATCTGAGCCGATAAAAGATAGCTACTTTGACCTTTATGTTCGGTCGTTGTGCTTTGTCTTGAACCGTCGCCATAATTCGACACGAATATCCCGTCGTTTTTCTCCCAACGCTCCCGTGTTGAAATCACACCTTTATAGAGCTGGTTTTGTTTGGTTGGATCAGAGTCCTTTCGGTCAGTATTAACCATTTCAAGACTACCAGGGCCCCCACCAGGGGCACTTAAGCCCACTGATGGCTGATGTATGCAGCTTGCCCCTGACAAACAGGGCGTCGCAGTCATGCAGGTAAGAAGAGGGTGAAAAAAACAACTGAGGGTGTTGTAGGGCTAAGAGCACAGGAAGAGAACAATTCGGAGAAACTCCTGGTAAAAATGAAGACACTAAATGTATCAGCGAAGTATGACGCAGCTTCGTGCCCCTTAACTCCATTAGTATTTGGGGGGGGGGGGGCACAATCAACATCGCTCCCCCGCCCTCTCCAGTTTGTTGCCAGCCACGCCTAAAGTTAAGAAGGATTACATTTAGACTAAGTGAGCACCATAATTTTCCATGTTGCATATTGTGCCAAACTTTTTACATCCAATTTTTACCAGAGGCGGATCCGGGACAGATTTTGAGTGCGGTCATTGTGATCATTATTTCGAACTGTTGCACACATGTCAATTTATGTCAACCTGAACAAATGAATTCCCCCGCGATGCTGATGCTGAGAGCAGGCCGGAGCGATGGAGGTCGGAGCGGTTTACCGGCGGAGCGATAGAAGTCGGAGCGGTTTACCGGCGGAGCGATGGATGTCGGAGCGGCTTACCGGCGGAGCGATGGATGTCGGAGCGGCTTACCGGCGGAGCGATGGAAGTCGGAGCGGTTTACTGGGTGCCGGAGAATCCTCGAGGTGTTGAACCTAAACCGCCTAAAGTGAATGGCAGCAGAGCATCATTTTCGTCCCGGAGTGCCCAGCGGCAGAGGCGTGCTGCGTGTGACGCTGCGCTGTGAGAAAAGGGGTTAAAGAGAGCAAGAACAAGCCGCAATCAATGACGGTGCAGTGTAGAGGAGCCATACACAATTAATAATGTCCCAAAAAATATAAACTTTTGAAAAACGTGTTTGTGGAGTGATTTACTCCTTTTTGGAGGGCTAACGAAAAGCACAGCGAAAATTCAAACCTCACATTAATTTTTGTCCACAGTGCAAATGCCCATGCGTTACCCATGTGTCTTGAAGGACACTGCTACACAAGAACATGGCCCTTTTTCTCGCTTTAGTCGAACGAAGGGAAGGTGCGCCATTCATTTGACGAAGCTGTGGTGACATTTATGGACATGTGGAGGTACTAGCAGTGTTTTTCTTGTGCCCCCCCCCCCCCACACACAACACATACCCACGAACGCACACACACACACACACACACACACACACACACACACACACACACCAACACACACAACACACACACACACACACACACACACACACACACACACACACCACACACCCACCACACACACACACACACACACTTGCATACAACAGCCGGACCTGGCAGAGGGGATCAGAAAGACAGACAACCGACTGACGCCCTTTAAAAGAATGTCGGCACAAATCTGGAATCTTAGTCGTGCAGTGCCGTATGTAACAGTGTATTTTTATCTCCTAAAATTATGGTTTGATACTCAATATGCATATAGCAACATTTGAAACAAACCCGATTCGCACCTTGATGCGTCCTTGCTCTAAGTCTAGGCATACGAGGTGTATGCAGTGGAAGCACGCGGTACCCTCCAATCCACAAATATTTTATTGAGGGCCTGAAGCCAGAGGTCACTCAAAACTCATTTGCAATTTTAGTTAAACAGTCTTGTTCGACAGGTTCTGGGCATAGCAACAAAGCGTCATACCGGGACATCATACGAACGAAAAGCACAATGACCGATTACGCAAATATGTGGACTTGTTACTTAATGAAGTGATAATGTCGTAACGCACTGTGCATATTTCTGCCCGCCAATCATCGACTGGATCTTACCCTCACGGTGTAGGACGGTCTCATGTGTTTATGCTTGTAGAAGTGCCACGGATTTCCGCTGTTTATAAACGCCGTTACGTAGGCATGTCTGTAAACAAATCGGCGTTCTATTCCCGTGGACCTCTCCGTTGCATGATCAGACGTTAGTCGATTTAGAGCCAAACGCCAGAAAGGTCAGGTCAATTTGGAGCCAAAGGTCAGAGTCCCACTAGATCAATGTTTCAACCGCGGACTCGTGAGGGGAGTTTTCACACTTTTTAAACGATTTTCAGTCTCATGTTTTTTAAAGTTTTAAAACGAGATTTTCTGATTCGGCTTTTAACACTGCCGAATTTTATCCTTTTCGACGTTTTATTCCCCGACTTTTTGTCCAGGTGCCGAGTAGAAAGCTGCACCGTCTTCTCTGACTTACTTGGAAACGTCTTTGCAAAAGCATAGATGAGCAGATTGCAATTTAACATAACCATCTAAGAATCATGCCAGAATTTGGCTAGAGCTCCCTCCTAAAACGGAACCATGCGCAAGACAGGTGTCGTAAATTTTCACATTATGAGCACTGAGGATATTCGGGAAAGCCATACATATTATGACCTGCTCTAAACCGTTCCAGAGGCATCACGTAGCAATTCATGAGCGACTGAACCGGCCCCTAGTTAAGAAAATACAAACAGACAGTCGTTCTGTAAATTAGGAAAACGCGCCGCATTTCTTTACATATTTGTCTTTAAAAAATTGTCATGTCTGCAGGACGCTGCCACTAAAATATTGCTTGTTTCACAAAGGGCAAGTCCAAACATGAAAAGCACGTAACTTTTCGCCACCCGATTATCTTCGCATTAGTAAAATAATTCTGACATCGAATTACGAGAAACAGTAACCCATAAAAAAGCGAGTGACTGGTAGAATTTGAGGAGTAAAGTCACACAGATCACTTCTCGCTGCGAAACCTCCGTTTCTCGTAACGACTTACATTGTACATCATTCGCACCAATTTGCTGTATGACTTTTGGCATTATCAAGTCAAACAGTTCTACCCACATACCCCTCGTAAGTATTTGCATGACAGTGAAATGTGCTATCATTTAAGTATCATCATTTTTCACGAGGTCTTTCATGACATGCATCTTCATCATCAGCAACACCAACGGCAGCAGCAGCAGCAGCGTCTGTATCACCATCGTCATCATCTTAATCGCCATTATTATCATAATCGTCATTACCATCGTCGTCGTCGTCGTTGTCACCATCACCATCATCATCAAGGGCATCAACTGGAATGTGAAGGTTGGTCAGAAAAGCGCGCATGCAAAAGCCTGAATCAAAACACATTGTCTGAGACGGACAACAAAAAACTTCATTGCGGCTGACAGTCCAAGACAGCTTGTCATCAAAGCAGCCTTGGCCTAGAGCTCTGACGCAGGTTGGCGGGTATCTTTAGCAGAACACCTTGCTCTTGCCAGTTTTTTTCGTCTAGTACCGCTGGCATGCAAGGTTCGCTTTGCCGTGCAGGTATTGTGCAAATCCTGGAATTTCTCGGAGGAAATGTCCAGATTATTCATGGCTCGCTCATAACGCAGAAACGCCAGATGCCTCACACAGGCAAGTACAAGTATATCCGAAAGATGACGGCCAACACCAGTGTGATGCCATTCCGAAATTGCTCATTTGGCAAACCAAAAACCGATGTAGACTTATTTGGTTCACGGTTGGTCATTGAGGAAAATTTTGGTCAGTTTTTGGAGAAGCAGATTCGGACTATTTTGTATTGCGACTCGTGGCCATCTTTTTAAGAGTATGCGAGTAAACGGGCAAAGATTACTGTTCAACTGCGACCAGGGTGTCGCAGGATCAAATAAAGTCAAGCGACATGATGTGATCCACGCCAGCAAATCATAGCCAGAGCTAAGCAAATGCAACGTGAATAAGAACATCAGCTTTGTATGCAGCACCACTGATGAGCGCTGAGCTGAGAGCTGAGAAGCTGAGCTGAACGTCACGCTGAACAGAGGTAAATAAAGCAAGGACAGTCGTACTTAAGTTCCTCGGGCAATAGAAAGTTGTGACATGCCAGTTAATTAAGACACACTACCCTCTGCAACACACACGGGAAAGCTTCCACCATATAAAACTGACTCGTTGTTTTATCCGCATGTTGCCATCTGCTTCCAAAGAAAAACATTGCACAAACACATCAGTGGGCGTCTGTCAAAACCGATCGCAAAAGGCGACGTAAATATATCACCACACGGAAACCACAACACGGGGTTATCTGTTAAGCCACCTCAAACCAGAA